TTCTATTCTATTCTATTCTATTCTATTCTATTCTATTCTATTCTATTCTATATTCATAAGTTGGAACGGTATCATGGCAAAAAACAGTTTCAAACCAGCATAGACAGAATGAGATCTTTCCTATTGTTTCATAGTGCAAGAATTCTGCTTAAAGAGTAAAACACTTGTCACTTTTGTACATAAGAAGCATAAATAATAATGAGACTCTGAAACATGAAAGGATTAAAAAAACAGGAAAATCATTTATCAAAAATGCCAAAGGTTGAACCTCCTTCACATTGCAAAATCAATCCAGCTAGTTACAGTCATCTCATAACAACCTCCTGTTGTTTGTTATTTTTAGTTACCTAGTCTGACAACACCTAGCAACTAAACAAGCTCAGAATAGTACAAAGAGAGATTATCTACCACTAACAATAAAAACACACAGCCCTAATCACTTCCTTTCATAAGGATGAATGGGTGTTTTCCATCTTAGAGCATCCCCCATTTTTCCCCTGAAATATGACATTTAAATACAAATACAAATTAAAATTCAAACTGGCAGAAGGCTCCGTTTCTCAAGCACCCCATTCCAGGCATACGGAGCTTGCAGTCTCTGCCAGATCTCCATTGGGATAAAAAGTCTTTCAGCATCTTTAGAGCGCTTCCAAACACAGCCAGTCCCTGTGTATGGAAGCGCTCCATAGGTGCTGAAACATTTTTTATCCCAACGGAGATCTGGCAGAAAGCTCCGTTTCTCAAGCACCTATGGAGTGCTTCCAAACGCAGAGACTGGCTGCATTTGGAAGCGCTCTATAGGCATTGAAAGACTTGGAATGGGGTGCTTGAGAAACAGAACACCCCTTTCCATGCACACAGAAGGTGCTTCAAAACGCAGGGAATCCCTGCATTTTGAATAGCCCCACCAGAGCACAAACACTCCACAATCCACAATGCCAAATCCTAGCCCCCACCACACCCCAGGGCATCCACAATGCCAAATCCTAACCCCCACCACACCCCAGGGCATCCACAATGTAACATCCTAATCCCCACGCCAGGGCAACCACATTCTGCAGGGCAACAAAAGAAGTTTGTGGGATTAAAAAAAAAAAAGATCAATTTGACCTTCCAACTTCTCGTGAAGAAAAAAAAAAAGATCTCGCAAAGTTGGAAGATCTGTTGAACTTTTTTTTACCGGTAGTCCCACAGACTTCTTTTTATTACCCTACACGTGGTGATGGAGAACGAAGCTGGAAGGTTAGTGAAAGGAGGCTTTAGGGAAGCGAGGGAAGACAGGGAAAGGTCTGCTCTGGCCGCTACTGCCTCACTCCGCCAGCATCAGGGCTTGGAAACTCAAGCCCCTTCCTGATGAAAATAAGCCTCCGGAGCGAGCGTGCCTCGCTCTTTGGTTGTTTTTGCCAGGAAGGGGCTTGAGAAATGGCTTTTTCCAACAAAAACGGAGCCATAGAGCAAGGCGCTCCGTTTCTAAGTGTGCATTTGCATGCAAGACGGAGCTTCCAGTTTCCCCAAGGTCTCCATCCTGGTGAAAATTGTTCCGGCAGTGGCAGAAAGGAGTTGGGGGTGGGAGCAAACACCACAAGAGTTTAGGCTCCCATTCTCTGCAAAAGAGGATGGGTGCCTGAACTTACATGATATTACAAGCACCCAGGAGCTTCCATCGACTCTCCTCTCCCTCAAAGGCAGAAACCGCGGCAGAGAGGAGACGGATCTTTTCAAGGTAAGTGAGTCCGGCGCAGCAGGGAGGGGGAAGCATGAGGTATCTTAGTGGGTCAGGGAGGCCTTGGGGGCCTATTCCATCACTAGGCACCCCATGGCCTTCCCCAACATGTCATGTGCACTTAACGAACCGCATGCGTCTTAACGAGCAAGGGAGTGATCTCATTCGAAGTATGAGATTTACTGTACGGGTTTTTGAGTTACGAGTGGAATGGGCAGTCTCCAATACTACTTGTAACCTGAGGACTACCTGTACTGCTTAGTTTTTTAGATCAGCCAAAATTGGCTACATGATGCAGCCTAAGTCCCACATTTTCTTCAATTTCTCCCAAGGATACAAGAGTGCCAAAATAGGAGGAAATTAATTACTCGTATATGGTTTATTAGGAGTTTTAAAAAATGTTTTAAAATGTTTTCAGGGGGGAGGGCTTCTTGGTAATATTCACATAAACAACTACCTTATTGTTTCCTAAGACCCTGGGTGAAAAAGAAGGGACCAATGGACTTGTGACAAGCCCAGAGTGCATGGATAGCCACCTCAAATTTGTAGTATCAAAATACAGTCAGCCGTGGAAGCAAATGTTCATATAGCTTCCTTTTTAACACCACTGAGGGAAAATGTCTGTGTCAGAATGAATGTTGTTTGGTATGGTGGTACAGAAATCTAAATAAATATTTAGGGGTAATGAAAAAGGGTAAATAAACTCAAAATAAAAGCATTGTCTTGAGCTCTTACTTAGTTTTGTTCCAAGTTCTTTCCAGCCCCCTATGCTTAAAAAAGGTACGTTTGTAGTCCACTAGTCAGATGAAAATTAGATTGGTAACTTATACATATTACCACTTTTATTTATTTTTTAACAGTGGACTTCTAGCATTTTAATTCAATGCATTCAGAATACACTAGGACACAGGTTATCCAAATGGTTCAGAATTTTTAATGTAAAAAACAAAACTTTTACTTCTGAGCTCAAGGCAAGCACTGGACTAGGCAAAGCTTCAAAATTAGAGAATGTTATATTAGTCCAGCTGGATACAATCAGGTTACGAATGACAAAGCAAAATAAGGTTGCAGCTAGTATAATCATTGTTAAAATATACTCATGCCTAAAGCCATCATTTGTACATTTCAAAGATACCAGGTCTTGAATACATTCCCAAGTAACAAAGCAAGCATTCAAGGAAAATACAGCCTCACTCTAAACCAGGAGTCCTCAAACTATGGCCCGTGGGCCACATGTAGCCCGACCTGTCTTTTCATCTGGCCTGCCTCAACCTCCCAGCAAGCCGTCCAATTGCAAGGAGAGGGTGGGTGGGTGGTGGCGAGAGCCCCAGCCAATAGCAGGATGGCGAGTTGGTGGGAGATGTTTTTTTCCTAGTTTCTCCCTTGCGCGCCCAAGGGCGCACTCACACTTTGGCCATGCCCCCTTCCTCTCCTCCTCTCGTCTATTTGCATTTTTACCTCAGGGCTGGGCTGAGAGGTTTAGGCCTCGCTTGCAGCCTCGGCCTCGCTTAGGGCAGCCAAGCCTGGTGATGATGATGATGCCACTGCTGCTGCTGCTTCTGAGGCGGGCCCCTCGCTAGGTGTAGGGAACATGAGCCCCAGCCTCTGCCACTGCTGCCGCCATGCCGGCCAAAAGGAAGCTGGTGCCGTTGGCCCTCAACATCACCCCCACCATCGCCGAGGCACTTAGCCCCACCGGTGGTTGGAGTGGGGCTGCTGGAGTGGGGCGCCGGTTATGGGTCTGAGGGGAGCGGGCAAACGGCGAGGTATTTGTGAAAGGCGGCTGGGGTGAGCGAGAAAAAAGGAGGAGAATTTGCTCCTGGAAAGGAGGGTTTGTGGGGAGCTGGGGTGATGAAAGGTCGGGGGAACACTAGGAGGGAGGATGTGGTCGGCCTTTGGAGGAGCATCCTGATCAATGAACGGGGTGGTGGTGCCGTGTCCAGGTGAAGCCCCGAGAGGTAGGCAAAGCCAGAGGTGGTAAGAGCAGCTCAGAGAAACCAGGAGTGCCGGTGCTGGTGATTGAGAGAAACTTCATTGGCCTTTAGGGTCCAGGAAAGGGTAAAGGAAAGATGAGGGCATTGGGATGTGCCCCATGGGAAAGAGGAATGAGGTCCTGCCAGGCAGATTCTTCTGCCCTGAGAATGCCAATCAAGGAGAATATTTCTGGCTCAGAGTTAAAATGAAGGGTCCTCGGGGGGGGGTGTGTCTCTGAGAATGGTGGTTTTCTTGCAGACATTTCAGGACCCAAAGTGGGATAAGTGAACTAATAATGTTACCTAGTTTGGGTCATGAGACATCTACAAGAAAGCCACGAAGCTCAGAGAGGACCAAGGAACCCACAACCGCCCCCCTCCTCCTCTTCTTTTCTTCTCCTCTACTCTACAAACCCCATTCTCTTCTGGCACTGCTGATGTTACCTAGTTTGGGTCATGAAATGTCTGCAAGAAAGCCACCAAGCTCAGAGAGCAGCAAGGACTCCACAGCCGCCTTCCTTCTCCTCTTCTCCTCCTCCATTCCACAAACCCCCTCTCTTCTGGTATTGCTGATGTTACTTAGTTTGGGTCATGAGACGTCTGCAAGAAATGTTGAATGGAAATGGCACCTTGCCTTTCTGACAGATATAACAGAGCTACTCAATAGTTTCAATGTGCAACTTCCAAGAAAAGGAGAAGCTCATCTGTGATATGCATTCACATGTGAAAGCATTTGAAATAAAATTGGACATATTCATTAAACAAGTGAGGGAGGAGAACTTCTGCCATCTTCCCACAACTCAAAAACTATTTGTGGAAAAACCAGCAGTTGCATTCCCAAACAAAAGTGTGGATTCATTGGAAATGTTGTATATTTTCTTCACTTAAAAACTCATTCAAATAATTAACCAATTCATTTTTCTTGTTTCCTTTTTTCATTTTATACTTGATTTTACATTGTTCTATAATCATTATTATTTTTCAATTATAGTCCGGCCCCCAACAATCTGAGGGGCAATGAACTGGCCCCCCATTTAAAAAGTTTGAGGACCCCTGCTCTAAACCAAACCTCTCTCTTTTTAAAAGCAAACCAATTATACTTTTATATTTTGTGTGTTTTCTCAGGCTTCACAGGAAATTTCCAGGCACAATTATAAAACATGAATTACTACTAGCTGTTCCATACTGACATTTCCATTCTGCAAAGGCACTTCATACAGATGAGCCCTATAGTATAAAGAATGCAAAATACATACATTCATACATATACATACATACAATCATTTTAGATATTTCAAACTTACCTCCAGTTCCTTAATTTTTTCTTCTGCTACTTTTTGTTTTTCTAAGAGCTGGTTGTGAATTACTTCTTTGGGATGAAGGATAAACCTGCCAAAGTATGAAGGGAGAAGAAAACAAAACAATCTATTTTATTAAACATTCACAGATCCAGTCTTGTAAATAACCAAAAATGTTCAGGGTGGCGCATACTGGCTCCTGCAGCAAAACACATAAAATGACAGAACTGATTTTAATTCATAGTAAAGCTACTGAGTTTCACTGCATAAGGTTTCTGGCTATTCAAGATAGTTTTCATCAAGTAGTTAAATATATTACAGCAACAAACTGGGGAAAAAAGTTTGTCCTCATGAGACTATCAATACTTAGACTTGAAAACCAATATGGTATAGTGGTTAAAGACACCAGGCTGCAAACCAGGAGACAGTGAGTTCTAATCCTGCCTTAGGTACAAAGTCAGTGGGTGACTTGGGCTACTCATCCTCTCTCTCGGCTCCATGAAGAAAACAATAAAAAACAATTTCATAGACTTGTCCAGACAGCATTCAGGAGTCAAGATTGACTCCAAGACAAAAAAATTAATAGTACTGTAAGAATTCAAAACCTGAGTAACATTTTCAATCTGAAATTTAAGTAATTCACTGCTAAAGTAAAAAGATACTGAAAAGCATGTATGTACAACACATAAAAGATCCTTAACAAGGCTACTACAACTAATAAATGCAAGGTAGTTATATGAAATTTAACTACCGTAATTAAAATTATATTTCTGGATCACTTTCTTGCTCCACTACAAATTTTGAAGACTTAATTCACAACACATCCAGCAGACATTAAACTGATATGCATTTGATTACCCATCTTCCAAAAAGTCTTTTTCATCTGGAAGAATATGATGTTTAAAACATGTTTTAAATTACCTGATTTAGTAAATTTTTGTCTTCCTTTGAAAGAAGACATAATGCCTTCTACACAGTAGGAAATAATTAAAGATAACATGGATATAAGAACTGTATATTAAAAAACTGTAAGTCAAGGGAAAAGAAATTTCATTTGAGACAAACTTAAAAAGAACTGAAAACATGAAAAACTATAAATAATGAAAAAGAAAAAAAACAAATTTAGTAAAAAAAAAAAAGTAATATTGGATATAGCAAAAATAATGACCAAAGCTTTATAAAGGAAACAGAAAAAGGAGGTTTTGAAAACACAATACAGGAACATCACTTGAAACCACGTTGACCCATTTTTCTTATTAAAGTATGAAAAATATCAGATATTTAAAAATGCATCTGCAGCAAATTCCAGATCAATGAACTTTTTTGTTGCCTCCTGATTAAAAAAAAAAAGCATTTAGTCCAGAGTTCGGAAACAATTTTTTTAAAAATCACTAAAAAAATGCCTTTTCATGTTACAGCAAATGAGTCCCCCATTAAATATGTTGTGTTTTTAACTATATGTGGAAACAGATTTGGAAAAGATAATTACATTTACATTCATTGTCCATATCAGAATCTAAGCAAAATCCAGAATATTAATTTCTTTAAAAAAGAGAAAAAACTATGGTCTGCTCAGTTTTAATAAGAATGTTTAAAAACCATACTGTATTTCTATGAAGTACATCCTAGACACAGATAATTTCATATCAAATATCTTCAATGTAAAGATACTCAGTTCTATATCTGTAAATCTGTAGCACATTTATCATAATTTTTAAAATGATTTTTTTCATGTGTACATTTATAACTAAAACTTTTAATTTGGGTGGTTTCTGATCCAGAGTGTTGGACTACTAGAAGATCTCCACGGTCCCTTCCAACTCTTGTTATTCTGTCTTCAATTGTTTCTTTATTTCATTTCAGCTTTTAAAATTTCTTCAGGTTATGAATAAATTTGGCCTTTTAGCATGGAAGAAGGGACTTCTTTACCCTTTGATTTTAGATACATAAACACCAATAATATAAATTAAGAATGATACCAAGGGTTTACTTCTTGCTCTTTAAATAGGACAAAGGATGCAAGATAAAGTTTAAGCTGGCAGGGAACCATGGATCATAATCAGAACATCGTAATATCCATATTACCTATATACACCATAGATACATACAGACCAATCACTATTTCTTTTTAGGGAAAACAATATTATGCAAAACACAAAAAAGCAAGAAACAGTACAAGTATGTTTAGCAACCATTCAAAGTTATGATGGTGCTGAAAAAAGTGACTTATGATTGGTCCTCACACTTACAACAGTTGCAGCATTCCCACGACCATGTGATCATGATATGGGTGCTTAGCAACAGTTGCACATTTACAATGGCTGCAGTGTCCTGCAGTCATTTGATCATCATTTGCTATCTTCTGAGCCAGCTTCTGACAAACAAAGTCAATGGGGAAACTAGTAGAGAAAGTTAAAGCCATGTGATTTCTTAACAATTTGGTGATTCATTTAATGACCATGTCAAAAAAAGTCCTAAAATCTAATGCGGCCATATGATGCCTCACTTAATGACTGCACTGCTTTACACTGGATTTTTGGTTCCTTTTCTAGTTCAGGGTACAGGGTCCTTTATTGGTTTCTTTTGTAATTGTAAGTTGAGGACTACTTGTAAGTCAAAAGAAATGGTAAGAAAAAGAAAGCAGCTCTAAACTTCGTTTATACCAATACAGTTCAACTATGTTTCATCCTTTTATCCTTACAAGCCATCTTTGCTTTCCCTACATCAAAACAACAGTTCACCTGCTGGTCTTTGTTTTTTAATCTTCTCACATTTCTCTTTTTGAAGATTTTATCCTCGGCTCCATCCAGTCATCACTTTCTCCATCTTTCCTTTCTTCTCAGACATTCTTTGTTCCTTCAGGTATTTATTTTGTTATTTGTTTCTCATTCATTCTTTCTGCATGATCAAACCATCTAATGCACGGGTGTCAAACTCGCCGCGTCAGTGACGATCCCGACTTTTTTTGCATTGCCGGAGCTGGGGTGGGTGCGGTCTCCATATTATACAACCAGCCCACGGGTTGGCAGTTTGACACCCTTGATCTAATGTATTTCCTTTATGCCGGTCAATCACATTCATACAGTGGCAACCACAAATGGAGAGAGCAAGCGTGGGGGGAGGAGGGGGAGGAGAGACTAATGAAAACCACATTATGAAACAAGCCCTGCTCCTTTTCACCATAAATTGTAAGGAGTGGAGCTTGCGGTGCAATGCAAAAATGCTAGGGAATTCCTGGAAGCTTGGCACTCAGACACATCAGCTATCAAGATACTTAGGATAAATCATTTAAATACCATTTAAAACAGACAATAAAAAAGAAGGAAACAAAAAGACCAGACCATATCCCCTTCAGCAGCCAACATCCAAATAAGCAGTAATTAACATCAAACAATCAATCAAGCAGAGAACAATACCCTACTCAAGGAACAACCAAGGAGAAAACAACACTGGCAGTGCAAACTGCAATATATAAACACTGAAGCAATGAAGATTACCTAGTCAGGTAATGAAACATCTGCAAGCAAACCAAGCTCAGAGAACACCAAGGACTCCACAGTGCAATGCTGCTTTTGTCAATCTGAGGCAATCAGTAAGCTCCTCGGGATATCCATACTTTTGTATTTATCATTAATGATTATCTCTCCTCATTTTAGCAAACTTATGTAACTCATGTTCATTATACTCATTATTTTTTATGACCCTAACATATCCAAGTTTCATTTGCATATAATAAAGTGGACAGAAGTAAGCCCTTCCATACAGCTCTTTTCAAATATTTCAACATGCCACCTACTACCTCAGAATCAGAATAGAGTAGAGCTGGAAGGGAACTTGAAGGTGAATAGAGCTGGAAGGGACCTTGGAGGTACTTTCCCGGGTCTTCGAGTCCAGCCCCCTGCTCAAGCAGGAGAACCTATACCATCTCAGACAAGTGACTATCCAGTCTCTTCTTAAAAACCTCCAGTATGGAGCATTCAAGGCAAGCTGTTCCACTGGTTAATTGTCCTCACTGTTAGGAAGTTCTCCTTAATTCCAGGTTACTTCTCTCCTTGATTATTTTCCATCCATTGTTTCTTGTCCCCCTCTTCTTTGTGGCAGCCTCTCAAATACTGGGATACTGCTATCATGTCCCCCCTGGTCCTTCTTTTTTCTAGACTAGCCAAACCCAAATCCTGCAACTGTTCCTCAAATGTTTTAGTCTCCAGGCCTTTAATCATCATCGTTGCTCTTCTCTCAACATTATAATATGGTGACCAAAACTGAATGCAGTATTCCAGGTGTGGTCTTACTAAGGCTTTATATTTTGATTATGTGCCTTTATTTATACAACCAAGGATTATTTTAGCTTTTTTGGCTGCTGCCGCACACTGCTGGCTCATAGTCAAGTGATCGTCCACTAGCATTCCAAGGTCCCTCTTACAGTTACTGTTTTTGAGCCAGGTTTTGCCTAATCTGTATTTGTACCTTTGTTTTTTCCTGCCTAAGTGTAAAACCTTGCTTTTCTCCTCACAGAAACTCATTTTGCTGGATAGGGCCCATTGTTCAAGGTGTCAACATCCCTTTGGATTCTGAGCTTGTCTTCTGGGGTGTTGGCTATTCCTGCCAGTTTAGTGTCATCTGCAAATTTGATGAATTCCCCTTCTATTCCCTCATCTAAGTCATTTATGAAGATATTGAAGAGTACTACCCTCCATGTAGATGTAGCACCATTAAGGACTACTTGTTGAGTACGGTTTGTCAGCCAGTTACAAATCCATCTGGTGGTGATGCTGTCTATTTCACATTTTTCTAGCTTACAAAGAAATAGGTTGTGGTTTACTTTGTCAAATGCCTTGCAGAAGTCTTAGAATCTTAGAATAACAGAGTTGGAAGGGACCTTGTAGGTCATCTAACCAACCCCTGCCCAACCAGGAGTCCCTACATCATTTCAGATAGATGGCAGTATAGTCTCTTCTTGAAAGCCTCCAGTGATGAAGCACCAACAACATCTGAAGGCAGTCTGTTCCATTAGTTGATTTTTCTGTCAGGAAATTTCTCCTTATTTCCAGGTTGAATCTCTCCTTGATCAGTTTCCATCTGTTATTCCTT